CTTCCATCACCTAGATAAACTAGTGGAGCTCAGACTAGAGGAGAAGAAGTAATGCAAACAGCAAAAACGTTTCTACAACTGATAGGAGATATTTTTTATTGTGACCCTGAAATGCTTTAAAGTTGTCCTAAACGATTGCACTGTGTGTGCACACAGAGGAGTCAGTGTGCTCATCATGGAAGAGTAATTCTTCTTGAGAAAGAAACACAGCTACTATTTAACAGTGCATGACCTTTCAAAAATTGCTGAAATCTCTCTTACATTTACTCAGACACCAGTCACTAAATTAACCTCTCTGGTAACTACGATGAGGTCAATTGAGTTGTTATCTGAAGGATAAATTTCCATAATAATTTTTCCAGATATTGACCAAGCATTCAATATTTCTAAAAGAGGACACAACAAATTAATTAACAACAGATTGAATGTACTAGAAAAGAAAGAAAAATAGAAAGAAGTATTAAATATTTATTATTTTACTATCCATAAATATCTCATATATGTTGATTTACATAGTATGTGATGTGCACATATATGTACACTAAGAGACAAACATGAAACAATTCTGTACTTTTATATGAAAGATCAAACCATAAGTTTGGTTAAAACAAGTGCAGGGCTAAGACACAGCAATTCTAGGAGCTACACAAAGTCTTAATTTGGATGCAAAAAGGAGAAGCAACTTGTCTAGTATTTAAGCTGATTGTCTATGCAGAGGCATGTGTGTAGAGTATGTTGGAAACTTGATTAGCACATTTATTTTGCAAATAGTTGCATGAAGCTAGGGACCAGGTTAGGAAACCTAAGGCCCAGTTAGAATTAAACTTAGCTAGAGGTATTAAAGATAACAGGAAGGGATTCTACAAGTACATAGCAAATAAAAAACAGACAGGGGAGAATGTAGGCCCCCTCAGGAAGCTCTCGGGAGAACTGGCTACGCAGGATTTGGAGAAGGCTGAGGTTCTGAATGACTTCTTTGCCTCGGTCTTCACTGCCAAAGGCTCTGACCAAACCACCCAAGTCTTGGAAGGCAGATGCAGGGACTGTGAGAATGAAGACCTTGTGCCCACTGAAGGAGAGGATCTGGTTCGAGACCATCTTAAAAATCTGAACGTGCACAAGTCCATGGGTCCTGATGAAATCCATCCGCGGGTCCTGAAGGAGCTGGCAAATGAAGTTGCTAAGCCGCTGGCCACCATATTTTAGAAATTATGGCAGTCAGATGAAGTTCCTGATGACTGGGAAAAGGGAAATATAACCCCCATTTTCAAGAAGGGGAAAATGGATGACCCAGGGAATTACAGACCAGTCAGTCTCACCTCTGTGCCTGGCAAAATCTTGGAGCAGATTCTCCTGGAAGTCATGCAAAGGCACATGAAAATCAGCAAGGTGCTTGGTGACAGCCAGCATGGCTTCACTAAGGGGAAATCCTGGCTGACCAATTTGGTGGCCTTCTATGATGGGGCTACAGAACTGATGGACAGGGGCAGAGCAGTTGATGTCATCTACCTGGACTTGTGTAAAGTATTCGACACTGTCCCACACGACATCCTTGTCGCTAAATTGGAGAGACATCAATTTGATGGATGGACCACTCGGTGGATAAAGAACTGGCTGGATGGCCACACACAAAGGGTTGTGGTCAATGGCTCAATGTCCGGCGGGAGACCAGTAACGAGTGGTGTCCCTCAGGGATTGGTGTTGGGACCGGTCTTGTTCAACATCTTCGTTGCTGACATGGACAGTGGGATTGAGTGCACCTTCAGCAAGTTTGCCGATGACACCAAGCTGTGTGGTTCAGTAGATACCCTGGAGGGAAGGAATGCCATCCAGAGGGACCTCAACACACTTGTGAGGTGGGTTGATGCCAACCTGATGAAGTTTAACCATGCCAAGTGCAAGGTCCTACACCTGGGTCGGAGCAATCCCAGGCACAGCTACAGGTTGGGCAGAGAAGAGATTGAGAGCAGCCCTGAAGAGAAGGACTTGGGGGTGTTGGTTGATGAGAAAATGAACATGAGCTGGCTTCAGTGTGTGCTCACAGCCCAGAAAGCCAACTGTATCCTGGGCTGCATCAAAAGGAGTGTGACCAGCAGGTCGAAGGAGGTGATCCTGCCCCCTACTCTGCTCTTGTGAGACTTCACCTGGAGCATTGCGTGTGGTTCTGGTGTCCTCAACATAAAAAGGACATGGAACTGTTGGAACAAGTCCAGAGAAGGACCACGAGGATGATCAGGGGACTGGAGCACCTCCCGTATGAAGACAGGCTGAAGAAGTTGGGGCTGTTCAGCCTGGATAAGAAAAGGCTGCGTGGAGACCTCATAGCAGCCTTCCAGTATCTGAAGGGGGCCTATAGGGATGCTGGGGAAAGACTCTTCTTTAGGGACTGTAGAGATAGGACAAGGGGTAACGGGTTAAAACTTAAACAGGGGAAGTTTAGATTGGATATAAGAAGGAAATTCTTTCCTGTTAGGGTGGTGAGGCACTGGAATGGTTTGCCCAGGGAGGCTGTGAATGCTCCATCCCTGGCAGTGTTCAAGACCAGGTTGGACGAGGCCGTGGGTGATATGATTTAACGTAAGGTGTCCCTGCCCATGGCAGGGGGGTTGGAACTAGATGATCTTAAGGTCCTTTCCAACCCTAAGTATTCTATGATTCTATGATTCTATGTGCAGTTGCTTCAATATTCAGCTTTCTGGTTTGGCTGCTCAAATGAGGTTTTACATCTTGCGCTGTCAAGACACCTTCTGAAATTTGGTCTTAAATTTGGTAAACTTCTCTCCAGAATTTAGGGTCTTTAGCCAGTGTTCTCTTATAATTGAAGCTGTGCAGATCCTACCTGGAATGTCAGACTATGCTCTGTGATGATAAACTTGCTGATATGTGATTTCTATGTCTTCTAGGGACACTGTAACACAGGGCAGGACTGCAGGTTTAAGTTTAAAAGGAACATTTTTAATCTCAGGAAAACTCTTTCTTTTTCTTTTTTTTTTTTTTTCTGCGGGTGATTAAAGCAGCAGAAAGTGCTCTGAAGCTAGATCCCTTTCAGAGCTCTAAAGAAGCTCACCACTGGATGAGAATCATTTCAGGAACAATTAGAGAAAAGGTCAGCATAAATTCTTCCTGTATCCATGGCATTAGCATCACCCAAGTGTCTCTTGCTTACAGTACGTTGTGACAAAGTAAAAGCTATTTCAGTTGTTATATTGTGATGGCTGTTATTTATGGAACATAAAAGGATACTGAAATACAAAAGGGTTTGAAAAGACCAGGGTAAGATCAGATAAAAAAAAAAAAAAAGAGAGAGAAACAGGCATCTTGGGATGGTAACTACCCTGCCATGTACTGACAGGGAGGTTGTATATTTTTAGAATATACTGAAAGGAATGGTGCTTTTACTTAGGTTTTTATGGTTTACCATGAGATGCAATTTTCTGGCCTTATATGCAGTTGTAACAAAAGTCAGAGAGATTTTATGATAGCTGCCAGAGTTCATAAATGATGGCATACACTAAAATATTTATAGAACTGTAAAATCTTGATTTCTCTCTGGTTTAGCAGATGGGGTCCTAAAACTGGTTCCCAGATTGTCACATTTCTTTACCCTTTCATGACAAAGAAGCCTGTTATCACCCTTTTTTTTTGCTCTGGAAAGCAAGTTCACTAGTGTAATCAAGTTCATACTTCTATCCAATTATACATACCAGGATCTCATGAATTAAGGTGTGTCAGCATATAAGATTTGTAATTATTCAAGGCAAAGGGCCTATCATTAAACAATCTGAGCAGCCTTGCTATGCCTCTGACCAATGACCATAGGCTCATGTCAGTATAACTGCTTTCTTATATACTGGTGAAAATCTGTTGCCTGATCATTATACTGAATCCACACAGCACAGATAAATACTAGTTATACACCAGAAGTCATGAACTTTGATATCTGCTTGGTACAAAGCAGCAATATAGCACAGCTATTGGTTTCTCTTCAGGATGTTTTGTTGTCCTCAAAGTAAATGAATCCCTGTAGTACTGCTAAACTCAGTTGTAATTCAGAATTAAAACTGGTGGTTGAGGGTAGCAGAAGCAAAATAAATAATCTGTGAAGCAGCATTTTTCTGTTGCCAGCCAGGATTTATTCTATATTAAAAAACTTTTCATTAAAATTGAAGTTGCTGAAGAATAGAAAGCATCAAGCCATGTAACTGTCCTTGATCTATTATATTTTCATTAGAAAGTTTCTAGATTTTAGCAGATAATCCATGAATGAATGTGCAGTACTTGCACACCTCTACCATATTTCCAATATTCATTGAGCCATATTATATAGCCACATTTTGTTGCAATAATTGTCTAAATAATTCTAAATTAGAAAAGCAAAACAGGCTTGGGGTCCCATTTTTCTGAGGAGTGTCCAAACTAGAAATACCTCTACTGCTGAGACTTAGTGTATCAGGCAAGATATAAATTACCAAAACAAGGAATCAAGGGTCAATAGAAGAAAAAAGGGGTTTGTAAAACCATTTTTTAAATCCCAAAATTGTCTTTTATTGTAATTTCTCTATTTAAAATCAATACAAAAATCTAAACACCAAAAAAAATATGAATCTAAATGCATTTTGATTTTGGTATAGTGCTTTGGTTTATTGTTAATTAGGGCTGTCTACTTGCATTATGCCTAGAGGTGGAACACGTAACAACCAGGCACACATATCAGAATGCCACGGTGAATTGCAGCAAATCTGAGTATCAAACTTCAGAATTAGGTCTTCTACTAAGAGATCTCAGGACAAGGCACAGCTTCACCAACAGAGACAAATTCATTTATAACGGCTGTGAACGTGTTCAAGGTCATGGGTGGGCTAGTTGTGGGATTTCCTTAGAATGCCATTTCTCTTTCTAATGCAGTAAAAGCTTGTTTTCTTAGCTTACAATTTGTAGCTGCCTGACTACCTGCCTTTGTTTGTTTGTTTCTTTCTTTCTTTCTTTCTTATTTCTATTAGGAAAACAGAAGAACAAATAAATGACAAATAAAAAGAATGAGCAAGTGAAACACAGAAGTTAGAGAAGCATCTCTTATTCAGACTCCATAGGCAGAGGTTTTATGCAAACTGCAGTGATTAGTATTTTACTTTATATAGGAAACTTTTATTTCTTCAATAAAGTGACTCTTATTTCCAAAAAGATGGTATTTTCTTTCTCTCTCTCTCTGTCTCTTCTCCTCTCTTTTTGTGTCCCCTAACACCTTTTCTGAGTGTATCTCAAGATTTTTTATATAGATAAAATAACAATATAATAATAAATAAATATCAATCCCTAATTTTTTTATGGAGTTTGGGAGAAGCATCTTAATGAGTATTTATAGAGTTTGGTTTATTTTTTTGTGGATATGAGAATTGCTTTAACCAGCTGGCCTTTATCTAGGCATTGTTTTGCTATGGTTTTAAGTGAATACTGGGAGATGATGTTATCTGCATCCGAAACAAAGACAATGTACTGCTAGAACTTCTGCATATGTTACCTCACCCTCTCATTTCATGATTTCAAGTCAGACATGAAAGAGTAAGAAGGTATTGAGGAAAGACTCAGCTGAAAATTTGGTGAGTGCTCCCTTGGCGATTGAGACCTGTCTGACTTTAGAATGCTGGTGAGTCTGATATGGGAAGAAAGACCTGAGATAAAGTTAATTTCAGTTCGCAACCTGTTAGCCAAAAATTTTCTTTTGGATGCAGAAGATTGTTAGATAATATGAAGCATTAAATGAGTTGCACAGAATATGTAAAGCTGTTAGTAGGTGGGTCAAGATTGGTGTTAGTCAGGTTTCTGTGATGCAGTAAGAATCAAGACCCATACACCTAGCTTCCATTTTTCCAACTGTGCTTACTTCATTCTTGGGCATGGACTCCGAGGTCATGAACGCATTTACCTGGCAGACATTTTTTTTTAATTGTTTAATTTGGAAATATGAATCCCAAGCCCCAAGCTGTGTAGAGCTTGGCATTGCGGAGTAGGCTTTCTGAGAGCATTATTTTTTCATGCTTGGTTGGGTCTCCAGTGAACAGCAAGGTTACTTCTGTGGAACTCTTTACTTATGTCCCCAAATACATTCTGCCCTCATCCTAGCTGCCTGATGAAGTCAAGTTGGTTGTACTAGTTTCTAGCCTAAACAACGTTCTCGGTTCTCCTAAAGACAAAGCTGGCACTGACAGATGATGACTCATGACATCATGAAATGCATCTTGTGTAAATTGCTTAGATTAGTTGATGGGCATTCAAGTAACTTATGTTAAGTAAGAAGAATTTTTTTAGGTCTGAGATGCATTGGAAAGCCAAAGTCTAACTTACTGAAATATTATATGATCTTTTTGTCATTATAGATACCCTGACTGCTGTGGAATTTACTGTGTGGTATTGTTCACTTGAGGCATTAAAAATAAAGGTGCTATGCATTTGAGTTACACTGGTACTCTTTTCCTTTCAAAGATAGATTCTGATATTTGGCTTTCTCTGCTTTTTGTCTTGCTTTGTTTAGTCTTTTGTGGGCACACAATAAGGTACTGATTGATCATTAAATAGTATATAACAATTAGATAATAATGAAATATATAATTATGTGGTAAAAAATGTATAATGTAGAAGTATTAAGTATATAATAATAATGAAGTAGTATATAATATACATTGTTCTGTGTATATCATTCTGGAAATTCTGTTACAAAACACAGTATCTGCTATCACAACTTTTGTTTGACCTAAGCTTAACAAAAAAAGATTTTTATATCATTTGGAATTTTGATCTGAGACACCACTGTCTTCTGCCATGCACACACACAAAAATTATGAAGTGCTTGATTTTTCACAATAAAAGAGTAATATAAATGGAAACCAATACTGGGACCTAAGAAAAGTCCACAAAACTATCTGGCATACACATACAGGTAAAACCAGTAAAAACACTTCTAAAGTATTCAGACTAACAGTGCAGTATGTGAAATACAACATGCTCTTTCACAGGAAGTACTTATATACCCTTTTCTTTAAACTGTAGTATAGATGCCCTAGAACAAAACTTCTCTATTGCATGATGTTTTATATGGTTCTGCTTGTGCTCAGAAGTGTACAGACTGTGAATTCAGCCCTCAGTGTGTGTCTTGATAGCATTTGTTAGCATTATGGAACTGTCATATAAGAAAAGCAGTCTCCCACAAAATTCTGACACATTTGTAGAATTGCTTTACATATTTTATTGTGGCCAATATGGTATGGAAAACTAAATAAAACGTTCTTGCTGGAAGGTAATGAGAAATTATGTATTTACTAGTGTGTGTTTCATTCCACTGGTGTGGCTTGAGGTTGGCACTCTTCCTGCGTTTTAGAGTAATCATGTTCTTTTTGTAACAAATTTGTAGGTTGTGAGATATTAAACATGATTTCGAGTTTGTTTTAAACAAAAATTTGAGGAAAGCAAAAAGCACAAACCCCTGCAAAGTGAGTCATAGGTATCACAGCTGTAGTCACAAAGTGACACTAGATTTGATGGGTGACACTTTGGTCCCAGTAGGAGTTTTATCATTGACCTCAATTGAGCAAAATTTTCCTATTCAAGCAAGAAAAGTAACTGGTAATTTATTCTATCTATCATCTGGTAAATTCCTTATCTTGAGGCAATACTTTTGAAATTTTGGATCATTCGCATATTTACTTCAGTTACCCCAGAATGCCTCAGTTCTGCCTGGGAATGCAAGCAGCCAGTGAATTCAGAGTTACCTGTAAACCACACAGGAAGGAAAAAATTGCCCTTATGTGCTCACTGACTCAATAACTCTCCTGTACACTTTTATTTTAGACATGACCAGAGGTGAAGTAATTACATTTCAACCTGCAATGAGGTGAAGCCCTCATGCTCAGTCTAACAGGAAACAAATTGCATAGGCAGAAGCATCTCTAATTATTCCAAACCTTTTGTATAGTTCAGCAAATCTGCTCTTTTGCAGTAAGTAGAGACCTTTTTTTGCCAATACTTCCCATCCATCCCTGGGAACAGTGCATGGCTGGTAAATCAACACAATTATTATCCTATTCCAGAGGATATACAGTGATTTACATTTATAAGCCAACATTTTCTTTCTTGTTGCCCTAGCAAGAGCTGGGAAATGATTTATAAGGATGCAGAAGTACTGGCACAGATGTTATACAGCCTCAGCATGGTTGCATTGCACAGCGTGGCAGACTATTCTGGAAGTGTCAATACACAGGTAGAGTGGAAGGCTGTGCATGTGCCAGCGGTGGCCTTCCAGCTCCAGCACGGGATGAACCCTGGCCTGGCTGCTGGCAAACATATTTGGCATCCATCTTTCCAACAGGTCATTTCTGCACGCTGCATTTTAGGGAGGAGGATTCGTTTTTTCTCGTAATTAGTTGCTTCTGTTGAATTCATAATGGACTTGCAGATCATAAAAACCTTTCTGTTGTAGAACAGTAGGCAGCTTCATTTTCTGTATTTACTTATTTTTCTTCTCCTCTCCCCTGTATGCCACCCCCATAGAGGAGGCTTTGGGGCTGAATGTATGTACAGAATAAAAACATACTTTTCAATGGGAACTGTCTTTCTCTTTCTACAGAGAGGCTGACATTACTGGGAAGTTTGCTTTTTTGCTTTTAAGTATTATCAGAGGAATTGAAGACCTCCAAATCATTTAAGTCCACATTTCATATGTTAGCATTATGGAAGAATAAGCCATTGGAAGGTCAGATTGTGAGAGCTGTATTACCTCTAAGTGATTCAACTTAAGTAGCTTAACGATATGTTTCATGATATAGTGAACGGTGGGAGTCCACCTAGTCTAATCTAGTACAGTACTGATCCAAGAGCCTTCTTTTTCTGAGCACTGCAATTTCATAAATCTTGAATGTCTGGGGCTGAAAAGGGTTAGGTGTTGGGGACAGGTATGAATCCTGCTACTTTTCCTCATTTCACCTGGTTGAAGTCTGATGTGAGTCATTATTTGGTATTCTTTTCAAGCATTCCCCTGGGCTGCAAAACCTAAATCATGGCTTTGGTTTGTGGTTCAGCTTGAACAAATGTAAGATCATTCTGGTCTCTGCCTCTCTGGGAGGCCTCCTCCATGGGAGGGAAGCTTTGATTTTACAGGGGCTGGTCCCTAGGAGACAGTTTATGTCTGTGTTATCTTCTAACCTGCCTGGTCCTGCTGCCTCAGGAGCTGGTCTAGCCTTTATGTGAGGCTGAACTCCATGGCTACAGGTCATATGGCAGAATTGTTTTTGAGAGTGGTGCGTAGCACCCTATTTTGTCCAAAATTACCAGAGGAGGAATGAGAGAAAAAGCTCATATCTTAGTTGCACCGGCAGAAATGTGCATGGTTAAAAAGATGAACCTGCTCCTTGGATGTGCTGAAGGATGCAATGGACAAGATGATTAAAAAAAAATAATAAATAATTCTTTGAAAGACATAAACCAAGGCAAAATGTTATGTTCCTTCCATTAAGAGTATAAACAAAGAAATAAAGCTAAAGCATAAAGGCAAAGTGCTGTAAACTCCTGATCTGAGGAACATTTATGAGCTTGAGGAGACCAATCCTCTGTGGGTTGCAAAAAACAAAGGTCTAGATTGTGGGGGCACATATTGTCGGAGAAATTGCTGCTTTAATGACCTGGCTTCATCCTACTCTTGGCAGGGTATAATATGCACGGCTCAAGGCTTAAGTACTTTGGTAGAGGAGCAGTGACAATGAGGAGGAAAACAGAGGAAAAGGAATTATACCTTAGTCATGGAAATTACGGTCTACTGTGGCCAGAGTCAAACTTCTGCCATGCCAGGTTTTGTAGCTTTAACTTAGGGAAGAACTTGGGCCCATGTTGAGATGAAATCAAATAGTGCAACAAAAACGGGCTCATACTGGGGGCAAACCCTTTCCCTTTCTACTGTATAGGATCCCATTGCAGGTGGTAGATTGTGCTCACTTATATCAGGACTAATGTTTCCTTCTGATGGTTGGGTATACTGAACAAAACAGGCTTTAGTGACTCCCTATAGTAGTAAACAACCTCCCTGTGGGTCCTCTAAAGTACCCCAACCCCTTCATTCAGCATTGAGATCTCTCCAAACACTTAGTTCATAAACAACCCAAGCATTTTAACACACTTTCCTCCTTCTCCCAGGGGGTGTTCTTGGCTTGTGTTCT